GGACACCTGTCTGATATTGACGCTTATTGTCATGCCGAAGGCTTGGCACATTCTTGAAGCGTTTGAAGAAACCACAAAACAAGCTACGTGAGGAGTCGCTTTAAGTTATTTTATGGTACCACCAGTAAATAAGAAGATACAAGAAGATCAACGACATCGCATTTCAGCCTCAAAGATATAAGTATTTTTCTATTCATCTATTTCTTATTTATTTTCATATTTTCAGATATCAGTATGCCATGGAATCATAGCATTGATTGAAGTTACCGAATTACATAAATGATGACCAGAAAATTGACTTTAAATTCAGTTCTACTGCCCTTATTTGCTGCTTAACCTTGTAACCACGTCGCACGACAGCTTGACGACGGCCTTACGACTATGGGGCATTCGTGAATGCGTCGTGTGATATTCGGCTGCCTTTTGACAGCAAAAAAAGAAACATTTGGTGTCAGTGTGCGTTCTACAAAGAGAATTTACGTATTGGCGTTGGGTGCCTCAAAGTTGCTGCTTAACCTTGTAACCACGTCGCACGACAGCTTGACGACGGCCTTACGACCATGGGGCAGTTGTGAATGTGTCGTGTCATAATCGGCAGTCTTGTGACGGAAAAAAGAAACATTTGGTGTCAGTGTGCGTTCTTACAAGGAGAATTTACGTATTGGCTTTGGGTGCCTCAAAGTTGCTGCTTAACCTTGTAACCACGTCGCACGACAGCTCGACGACGGCCTTACGACCATGGGGCAGTTGTGAATGTGTCGTGTAATAATCGGCAGTCCTGTGACGGAAAAAAGAAACATTTGGTGTCAGTGTGCGTTCTTACAAGGAGAATTTACGTCCGACTTAACCGTGTTGATGACACTGGGACGAAGCCAACGGAAAAGACATGCGATGTTTGGGCTTACTCTAATTCCACATAATCCACTCTAATTCCATTTAATGCGACAGAACGTAGACACGCTGAGTGAAATGATGCCTATCTCAACTCCCCACGATATTTTCTATACTGTTTAGGCCACAGTAATTTTTATGGATAACATCAGCGCGGGCATTCATTTTTGTCTGATGTTGGAAAAAAAAACACTGAGAAATTTTGTTGCCCTGTGAAAGCGGTCAACATGCCGAAAATGGGCAAAGATGGCAGATGAATAAGACAAGAGGAGACAAGACAAGGCTCTGATTTAATGTTTTGTCTTAAATTACTTTGATGCAGTGATGTATTTCATTCCTTTTGTATGTGATGGTGGCTGTGTATATGTGATGTTCCCACTGAATCAAAATCATTTGTCCAATGATCGCAGTAAACTTAGCACAATATAGGTATCTTTTCTTGTTAAACAAGGTTTATGATGTCAAAATTTGAAAATGTAGGAATCTTTTTTGGGGGCCCACCTTTTTTTTTGCCCTCTCGCATTAGATTCGGAGTCTGCGGAGGACGTCATCCATAAAATTAACTTGCTGTGGCCTTACATTGCAGCAGACGTTACAGGCGCAATTTGTATCTACTTGCCCTTTAAGTGCTTTTAACCAACCGTAAAAGGTTACACAAAATAAACGGCAAAGTTTATTTACATTAAGTAGACGTCTCAATCAGTTAAAACCAAGCGGTTTTATAACACCGCTCCCTGTTGGACAACTCAAGGTACAAGGGGTCTTGAAGGGGCTTAGAGAAAGCCTATGTTGCTGAGTAAAGTATGTTTATACGTATGGCGTAATGTTGGGGGTGTTTGGACCAAGTATGATAGGTCCTGGGTTCTAAACCACCAACAAGCCCTCATGTGTATCCTTGGGAAAGACACTTTACACGACTTTCCTCACTTCACTCAGGTGGAAATGAGTACCTAACTTCGGTTAGGGACGTCCCTCGGATAGGACGTTAAATACTTAGAGCGTAGACGCATCGGCCATCGCGGAGTGATTTGTATAGAGCATTAGTTAGCAGGCGCGTACAAAAATAGTCCCCAGTTAGAAGGCAATTTCTGATGCCATTCTGGTGGACTATGTTTAAATCAAGATTTACCACATTTGTGGAAGAATTGACATAACAGGTGACTATCACCTCTTCAAGATGTCAACTCTGAGACCAGACTGTAAGGTTTGAACCACTCACACCGGGAAGGTCCCCTACTTTTTTCGATAAGTGTGGTGGGTTCTTTAAGGTGCTCAAGGTATGGCTCTACCAAACACGGTGCCTCGTTCTATCCGGGGGACGTCCTTAACCGAAGCTAGGTACTCATTTACACCTGAGTTAAGTGAGGAAAGTCGTGTAAAAGTGCATTCCCCAAGGGTACAAGATCGGTGACACGGCAGGAATCGAACCCGGGACCTTTTGGTTCCAAGCCGAACATGCTACCGTAACGCCACACGACCCCACTATCATGGTATATCTTTATAGCAACGACACTAACAGACGTAAGTATCGGAGCGCTTGAGCAGATTACTAGTACGTCGGTTTATTTTTCTTTCCCGGGCTCGCCGGTTCACAAAGAGGTCAAAAGCACGAACAGAAAATAAACTTTCTTCAGGGTTAAATGTGGACAGAAATACACAGAGAAAGTGCAAAGTAGGATTAGCGGCAGCTGGTGCCGTATGTTTAGTTTGAGAGGGCATATTCTCTTCAAATCTTTATTATATGACTTCATTCTTTACCTGGAGTCTTAAATTGTAACATATACATAACATACACATACCATTAAGAATTAGTACACAATATATACATTCTTCAATATTTCCTACCAGTTCTGTTTGTGTTCATTTGCGTTTTCAGTCTGTCTTTGACGAGTGTTTTAAATGTGGAAGGTATAAATGTTCTGACGTGATCTGGAAGAGTATTGTACGATCGTGCACCTATATGAAGGAAGGGCTTAGTAGCTGCTGATGTTCTTGTTGTGGTAGATTAAAATTATTGAGAGATTGTACTGCCATTTCGTACAAAAAAGGGACAAACAAGTTTTTGCCAAAAACAAAAGATCTCAACTAAAGACACTATCTTATATCAGTAACCAGTGTCTTATGTTAGTAGAAGAGGAAAAAGTGCAAAATTGAGTTGTAAATTGGAAACAGTAGGGTTGTAGATAGAAGAGTCCAGTGTTTGAAGTCAGCTGTTTTTGAGTGTTGCTTGGTGTTTCTTCATGACCCGTGACAGCAGTGTTCAATGTGGGCGAGCAGATAGCCTAGATCTTCAGACTCCTGGCCATACTCTTGAAACTAAGCCGACTGAACGCATGGAGTCTTAGAGAGCCTAATAAAACCTCAGTACTATGTTTATTTATATGTAGGTTGCTTCTTACCTCCATGAAAAATGGAGGTATTGTTTTTGGCGTGTCTGTCTGTATGTCTGTATGTGTGTGTGTCTGTCTGTGTGTGTTTCCGCAACTTTGTGGTCAGCATAACTTCAGAACGCCTTTATGGATTGTGATGATATTTGGTATGTTGGTAAGTCTTGGAAAGACAAAGGTCAAGGTCAAATATGGGCCTCCTGATGGATGACCTTGGTACTGCAGCAGAACTTCCATTTTTGGTATCTTTTGTCCTGGACATGCTATGGTCTTGATTTTTGAGTGGTGGATAGCTTTTTCTGCCAGTAATAAGTGGTGTGGGTTTAGTCCCCCTAGCAGCTTGCTCTGGAACTGCAGAGGGGTTTCTGGCGAAACCTTTCAGAGCAGATAAATTCACAAAGGAACAATGTATTTTCTTGATTTTTGGTATGTGGGTAACTTAGATAGAGATCTACATTATTGGATGCAAATTATGCAAATGATGAATTCAATCAGCTTGCTATCGTACGCCATTCGTGCGACAAATGCGAGCCTAGCTACTGGACTCAAAGAGCACAGCCAGACGTCTGCAGTTCCAGGCTATCAGGGCCCGCCTGTTAGTGTTTACAGACAGACACGTAGCCGGTTTAAAAGTTAACGGTCTGTTGAAGGAAGACACGTGCGCACGACCTCCCGGGTGGTGAAAAATGTCTCAAGTCTGTTTAGAAGAAGCCCTGTTCAGCACACAAACGTTCGGGGCTGTTCTTCAAGACTGTATCTCTGGTACTTACTCTTATAAGGAGGACCATTCTACTTTTAAATGTGGTGGTGTTGGTGTTGAGGGAGATAGTGAAGATAAAGATAATTGTAAAGATATAAAATGTAATGATATTAAAATTGTTTGAAAAACAGGAGAGAATATACTAGTAGTATTTCCCACCATCCACTAATCTCCAAGCAGATCCTAAGGGTGGCAAAAAAAAAGGCCAGGAAGTATCCATTGGCCAGAGAGGGTCCAATATGCCACCCAAGGATCTGCAAAAAGGACCCGCACTGCACACTTTTCGAAATTGTTTGGGAATCGTAAACGCTAATGATTATATGGACTCTACATGGCTATAAGAGTACGTAAACCAAATGAGGAGTGAAATGTGGTTACAAGTAGTCTCTTTCTGTCTCTTTCTTGTCCCATTTAACACTTCATACAACGTGCCGCTATAACTCCTTATTTCCGTGTCACTCGTGCGGCTTTGTAAAGAGAGAGCCTCTAGCATCTGGTCACTATTTGGAGAACATGCTTCGTTTTACCGGGATCCCTGAAATAGCACGATTAACACGCAGTGTGAACAGTGACATGCTTTCATCCATGTAGATCTAAAACAGCTTCTGGTAACAGGTTCACCGGTACCAAGGAACGGTACCCGGCTATGAAATGCTTAAAAAATGACCAGAGATCAAGATTGGAATAGTTTGTATTTGTATAGCCTCCATCAGGTCTTTCTACGGAAATACGGATCGTAGAATTCGGCAAAAAAGAGAATAAAATGTGCCAAGGGAGTCCGGCCGCGGGAGGTAGTTTCTTTCCGTAACTGCGCGGCCCAGTCAAACCTACAAGGCGGCCAAACTCCCAAATATTCTCCTTTATGTAGCCAGCGTCACGGTTAGTCTGTTAGAGACTAATATTTTCACCATTTAGTACTAGTACTTGATTTTTGTTTTACACGTTCTCGTCTTTTTTTACAGGCAAAACCCTCCGACGCTGACAAGCTTAACACCAACAATGTTCTCAAGAATGACCAAGCGGAAAAAGTCACAAATTCTGGGCACAAAATACAACATCCACAAACGTATATCACCGGAACTGTCCATAAGGAGCCTGTGGATAGGTCAGCATCCGGAAGTACGTCATCATCCGGAAGTACGTCATCGACACGTCATGTTGCCAACGGCAGACGTCCTCACGTTATAACAATGATACATAACATCAACGTCGGCAGGAATCCGAGCGGAAGTACGTCATCAGCAGGGAATGACGGTACTGAAGAGAAGGCACAGAATGTTCAGACAACTACCCATAATTCCAAGCCCCCGTCAGACGACTATTCGGGCTCGAATCTCATGAGGGCGATAAAAGATCGTTTCAAAATGGAGGATCTCGTCAACAAAAACATGATGACGATGATGAAATTTGTGCTGAGAACTGTCTCCGAGCATACTGACGAAATGTCCAGCCTCAGACTCCTCATTTCTGACTTGAAAGCCGAATTGGAAAGTGTCAAAGAATCCAAGTACCACCCGCCGCCATATTTAGAATCTCTACCAATCAGAAACAATGACACAGATGACGATGCTTTCAACAGAATATATGGTGAAACTCTCAACGGCAGAGTAGCTGTTCTAGAGCATCAGCTTGCACAAGAGACACTTGAAAAACAAAGACTGCAAGAGGAGGTTGAAATGTTGAGGACGAATCAGCTAGATTTTAATGAAAGATTATTAGAAAGTAAGGAAACAGTCAAAAATATCTCTGGGCAGTTCAAAGTCATTGCTAAAAGCGTGAATACATTAGTACAGCAAGGAAATGAAACCATTGGAATTCTGGGTACTTTAAACAATGGCGGGATGAACACGGAAGTGACGTCAGTCTTGGAACGGATGCAGAAGAACATCACCATATTAGGAGACGAGCTAGTCAACGTGGTCGAACAAATTCTCGTGGGAAGAGACGAGATCCAAGAAGTGGACGAGAAGTTGGAAAGTATCGACGAGTTTTTCCAGAACTTCACCAGTGACATCAATACCTTCACGGACGAAGTCTACGACCTGTCAGAAAGAACGTTTCGAACCGAAGAAGAGATCGGAAACGCTACGTTTGACATATATTTCCTGAAAGAAGACGTAGCCGGGTTAAAATCCAAAACAATCGCTAACAACGATTTTCTGTGGAGACACGAAGACAGACTAACATCTCTGTCATCATCTATATCAGACCTCAAAGATGAAGTCGAGAAAAAAGAAGAGGAAACGAGAGATTATTTCGACAAAAAGATAACAGCGCTAGACGACGTTATAGATGAAAACACTAAGACTATTTTACAGATCGGTAGGGTACAGGAAAGCGTGGCCAATGAGCTTGTCTCTGTTGCCGAGACGGCAAAGAACAGCGACCAACTGTTACGGGACCACGACGCCATCTTGAATCGGGTGGCGTCAGAACAGAACGTGCAGCGGAAGGCGATGGAGGCGCAAGGGGGCGCTCTTAATGACGTCATCAACATCGTCAGGGACATGAACTTAGGTCTTCCTACTGCTGTTGCTACAGGTAATGTCTCATGTGTTACTTGCCATGAGTCTTTGTTTTAAACACATTCAGAACCTTCTCCCGACCAAAATTACTGAATTTTCCCAAAACTGCCTGTCAGAAACCCGTTGCCATGGCAACACAAAAATCAGGAACTCATATAATTAATATGAAATTGATCCCAAATATATCTTAGAAAAATTCACCAAATTTGACGGTTCTAGCGCAAGTCGTTCAGTCGTTATCCGAGATGAAAGTGGGCGTGGGCCTCAAAAGCCACCTCCCCGGTCTGAATAGGGTTAAAATGACATTTAACATGAGATGGTAGATCATTCCATAGCACAATTACACGATACAGAAAGGAATGTTTTCTTTAGGTTTGGGTAATCTGAAGTTGCTGCATACACAAAACCTGGTGTTATAAATGTGAGATGCATGAACAGGCACAAGTTCTAGTACTGATGTCCTTGATTTCTTCCTGAAGACTGCGCAGATGTCTATCAGTTTGGACAGCGTCAAAACGGCGTGTACAGCATCCAGCCGGAGGGGTCAGATGAGGTCAGCCAGGTGTACTGTGACATGGAGACAGAAGATGGCGGCTGGACCGTCATCCAACGGAGGGGCAACGGAACGGTGGACTTCTACAGGTTAGTAGTAGAGCAGGAGCCACCAAACACATTTTATTAAGGTGGAGGGACATAGACGAAGACTTGTCTTATAAATCTTTCAAATTAGGAAGATCATACTTCCGAAAATTGTTTTATCCGGTTGGTAAGACATAGGATATTAGAATTTCTTTGATTTTTTACACAACTGGTATATAGCGGCGAGAAGCAGAACTCCAATCAGAAGCTCTGAGAAAGGTGTCTGATAGACATCAGAACGTAAACGTGAGAAATCTTGGTTATGTAAAAGAAAACTCCTGTATGATATAGATTCTCATCTGATTAAATTTCAATGTCTATTCTAAAGAAGAATAAGGAAGTCAACCCAAGTGATAAACCGGGACGAGGGGGGATACAAGCTTATAGTCACGTTTGGGATTGTGTTCTCGCCTCAAAAGCGCCACCTATATATAGCGGCGAGAAGCAGCACTCCAGTCAGAAGCTCCGAGGAAAACGTCTGATAGATTTTTGAGAGTAAGCAGATAAGTGTCTATACCGGTTTAACATACTATATTGTACGAAGGCTCACGACGACACTGCGCGACACGTCTTCCAAATCCCGGAGAGAGAGTTGCGAAGAGATTTGGAAGAGTTGTCGTTGTGGGCTTTCGTAGTACAGTATTGCCATTCACAGTTTTCCACGCGTAAGTGTAACGTTTACCTTCTGGATTTGTTTTGTTGTTTGCAGGACGTGGGAAGAGTACAAAAACGGGTTCGGATCACCTCACACCGAGTACTGGCTAGGGAACGAGTTTATACATCTACTGACGGAACAGGTAACCAGAAAATTGTTTTCGTTTTATTTTCCTCAAGAATTTGCTTATTCCATTTAACAGCGCTTATAGCTAGCGTTATTTCAATGATTATAAAAATGAAGAGAAAAAAAACAACAAGACATTGAGTTGGCACATACTGTCGTATAACAGTAGGGAGTTATCTATAGTTGTAAATAGGTTATCCCCTTCCCGAATTTGTACTTTATGTACTTGTGTCCTACTACTACTACTACTACTGCTGCTGCTACTACTGCTACTACTACTGCTGCTACTACTACTACTACTACTACTACTGCTGCTGCTGCTGCTGCTACTACTACTACTACTACTACTACTACTACTACTACTGCTACTGCTACTACTACTACTGATACTACTACTACTACTACTACTACTAACTACTACTGATACTACTACTACTGATACTACTACTACTACTACTACTACTACTACTGATACTACTACTACTACTACTACTACTACTACTACTACTACTACTTCTACTACTACTACTACTACTTCTATTATTACTACTACTACTTGTATCCTGGAAGACTAGCTGTCACTTAGTCATAGGTAGACAGCTAAAGGAGAGGCTGAACTCTAACCAACTCCAATAAACTCCAATGTATACCGCAGGGAGAGTACGAGTTGCGCATAGACATGGAGGACTGGGTAGGCATGGCTGTGTACGCTCGCTACAGTACCGTGTACGTGGCAGACGAAGGCAATTCCTACCGAATCCGCCTGGGGGAGTACAGCGGCGACGCCGGGGACGGACTCAGACTTGGAGACAGGTACGAGGATAAAAACTCGTTCATCATAGTCAGTTATGTTTTATATAACAGGTCGACAGAATGCGCGAAACCCGTAGTGTATTGTGCATAGCACTTCAGCAGAACGTCTCGTATAAGGTCGTATTCGCGTACATAAGGTTAACATCCTGTTTGTAGTATCCACAGGCTATGTCGGAAAAGATGTCGTCTGCAACAGGAAAAATCCTGATGCAACGTTGACAAAAAATCCAACAAAAAACTTCGGTAGCACAGTACGTTCTGCCGACATGCTGTTGTATGATACATTCCCAGTCACGTGAATATGGCGTAATTTAGCGTCCGCCATTTTGGTGGGTTAAATATTTGTCTTGATTTGTGACGATCGTGCAAAAATCATAGTTTGGTTACACCGTACCGCTTGTCACATTCATAGCGCTTTCCTTTTAAAATCGATAGACGGCGCTTCAGCACCAAGGACAAGGACCACGACCGGTGGGAGGAGGGCGAATGTGCCAAGTACAGCAAAGGCGGTTGGTGGTTCGCATGGTACGTACAGGGCTTTGTTTGTTTGCCTGTTTTTGTTTGCTTCTTGTGAATTACAAATTCAATTGCTTTAAAGACACAAAATGCAATTTTTGGGCGAAATTTCAGTCAATTTTCTGGACATTCTTTTAATGTAATAATATGAATAAACCGAATCCCATAGCAAACTGATATCTATAAGGCAAAATGCGATGTAAGTGCCGGAAAAATGGTTGCTTGTTTTTGTTTTATGTCATGTGTTCGATTTTTTTATTCTAGATATAATTTGATAACGGGAAAAATACGATACGAATTTGTGATTTAATGATTTGAAATGTTAACAACGTCTTATTTGACAGGTGTACCAGTGCGAATCTGAATGGGGTTTACCGGCACACCGGTCCGTACGACGGTGACCTGAACGGTGTATATTGGTACCCGTGGAAGGGCACACGGTATTCCCTCCGTAAGGTGTCCATGAAGATCCGGCCCGTAGATTTCAACAAGAAGAAACCCTCTGAGCGCGAGTTAGGAGACTACTGGCCAGAAGAAGACCAAGCTGCGGCTACAAATGGGGGTTCAACGAGAACCGCACGTTGGAAAAAAGGGGAGGATCCAAATGGGGGTTTCCAGGAAGACGTTCCCATTGTCTCGTCGGAGGATTACCCAGAGGACGACATGTTTGGGGATCAGTTCAGAGGTCCTGATTTCCCTCTCAAAACGAAGTCCGATCGTTACGAAATCCAGGTAGGTCCTAGCCAGGATTTGGCGGGAAAGAAAGGAGAACGGGTCTGGGAAAAGGAAGACTCGTTTGAAGACGCTGATTCGTTTCGTGGGCCGGATTTTCCGGTGAACGGCTTCGGTTGGGACCGTGCAGGCGGCTATGATGTTGGACCAAACCGTGATCTATTATTGACACATAAAGGCGGCTATAGAGACGACTGGGAGGACGATTAAATACTAATCATCTATATCACTTCAAAGGACGACTGTACAACAAATGGTGCTCAGCCAATTTTTTAAAGAACATTTGTAATTTTTGTTGTTGCATTTTTCCTTATGCTAAACGTTCTCCATAAATCGACACACCTTCCTTATGACTTTTGTTGTCAAGTGCATAAATAACCAGTAGATAGACAATTCTATGCCCTATATTAGGGTTGATACTTGATAGAAAATCTATGATAGTCGATAATTTAATTACTGTGTTTTTGAAATTAACGTAAGCTTCTGTAGCAAGATGATATTTGCGCCGTTTGGTTCTTACAAGACAGTTTCCTGTCAAACCGGTAGGGGTCGCTTTTTACAATGCCTTCGTGTTTTTTTTTTTTACCAAAATGAATGTTTCTCACTTGTTATGTTGCATCTGACACAAACCAGGTTGTTTTATTATCTTTTCTCGTTACATATCAGCTATGTCTACAGGGTAGATCGTTATGTTTATGTAGCACGATTTTCAGAAACCTTTCGCCAGATTTTTCATCGTGTTGTTTTCTTGGAAGGCTGCCTTGTGTAACATTAAGACGACACAAAAAATAGATTTTCTTGTCATTTCTTTACGAAGTGAGTTGAAGCAACCTTATCCCTACTGCATGGAAAATAAGTGCCATTCAGGAAGTGGAGGTGCCAAAATATGACGCCTTACGGGTGTGTTTAAAGCTGGAAACACAGCCGTCAGCCATGTTTGTTTACATTCTGGTAGTTTGTGGTGGCACCACAAACTGAGTGTGCCTCGTGTGGGCTGTTAAAGTGCCAACCATACATGTCAGAAAAGTGGAAGTAAATTACAATCACACTAAGTTTTTTTCTCAATTAAAACATTTCAATTTTTGGTGCAAAATGTTACAAAAGGCCCCTTTCAAACATTCGACAAACTCGTCAAAAAGATACATAGGATTTATATACTTCGTAAGTTTGATATTATAAGCTTAGTACGTGTTCTGTTTTTACATATTAGAGACACTTATCATTGATTTCTACTTGTTTTCATTCATTATGTATTGCTAAGCCATAGCTATGTATTTGAACTTCTAGTTCTGAAACTTTTTGTGTACACGTTTAGATTGCTTTTGTATTGATTTGAGAACTATACTCAATCGTACGTCTGTAAATATGGAAGAATACATTTTGCCTTATTCAGGCGACTCACATGTTTGTTTAGTGTCATACCTTTCAATTACCATAAACCCCCCAGAAATATCTAGTTCTGACTAGTTGGCCACCATAGTTTTCATATTTTACATAAGACCACATGCTTTGATTAATCTGACTACATATATATATATATATATATAT